CAAGATCTAGTAGTAATAAATCAAATTTTTTTCTTATTTCTAAACACTTTTTATAATATTCTAATGCTTGACCAAGTTCAGTTTTCCTTTCATTCCTTTCACAAAAAGCTATTATGTAATATATCGTATGAATACTATCATCATCATCTTCTTGTATTATGAATGATTTTTTACAATGATCAATCGATAAATTATATTCATTAATAGAATAATAACAAAATCAAATTTTACGATGAATAATTGAACAATGTGATTTATTACTACTAGATCTTAGATGCAACTGCATGTATCTATTATAGAAGAGACTAATATAACGATGCTACCGAATACTGGCTAAAAATGTTACAAACAAGATGATTGGAAAGATAAAGGTAAATTTTAAGTAAAAAGAATATCTTTCAAAATTTGCAATAGAACATTAGTCTAATTACAACAAATTTCATCAAGAATTTTGTCTTAGTTAGATGCCATCTAATTGAAGAGACAAGAGGTGTTGCTCACCAGTCTTTTCTTTTAAATTAGACAGTGGATAAGAGGAATTGAAAGTTTTTGTCTGAGTTTTGTTTTCTTCTGCAGTATTGACTTTTACTAATGCACAAAATTTTGGTAAAAGCCGGACTGTAAGAAAATGGCAGAATTTTTTATATCAAACTGTGGAAACATATAAGAGAACAACATGCTCACATACTTTCAAAAAAAAGAGCAATCTGACAAAACTTTCACCAATACAACTAGAATACTGACTTAAGTGTCCAAAAGGCTCAGATATGCTCCAAAAAGGCTTTTGGATTCTTAAGTATCTTCCCTGTAGCAACATTTTTTAAAACTCTAAGGGTTTTTACTTCAATATAAAAAACAACAGCACGCTTTTTAAATATTGTGTAAAATTAGTCGACATTCTTCATGCCAAATATAACACTCTTAGAAATCATTGCGTAATGCGGCAGACCGATAACCGCGGGTCAAGAAAGATGATGCCATTTCACTTTCAGAGCATTTTCCAGAATCTGACATATGTGTTTTGGACAAAGATGACCAAAATTATAAATACAAATATGATCATTGATTGTGGAGCTGAACTTGTTCATGTATATAAGAATCCCAACGAGAATACACAGTTGTATGACGTTCATTATACTTATTTAAAAAATGATTGTCTGAATGTGAATTTAGGATCAAGTTTAAATTTCGATCTTAACGTAAACCTACTTTTTTGATGTACAAAACTTGGATTATCTCGACAATAAATGAAGAAGTGAATTACTATACAGATCATGCAGGTATATTGTATAGTTTTTTTATTTCTTGTTGTAATTCCCATTTGTCTATGTTGCGTTTCTTCAGACATTGCTTTGCCATTCTTGGCTGTCTATTCAGCTGACTAACACATATAGTTTAAATTATATTGTATCAATGTACATTGCTCGAGTGAGAGAATCTTTATTGTTCCTTTCAAGGTTAACAAAAATAATAACATAGTGAACTTAAACTAAGAAATTAGCAAGTACAGGGTTTTCAATTGAGACTAAGAACTTTGTTAATAATAAAATGAGATTCCTCTCTATTTTTTCGGCGGGAATACAATATTATTGTTCACTACGTAAAGTTCCACTCATAAAACCAAATGATCCCAATTGTTCCGTACGTTGTCCATATCATCAAAAACCTCGTTCATTTAGCAACGTTGCAGAATTAGCCGTCATGAATATAGAAAAAGAATTCACACGTGTTAGTGAACGATATATAAAATTAATTGAAACCAACCCATTGGAATCGAGTATAGTACCCCTTCCGGTTGTTGTTTAAATCTGACTTTTCCTCACACTAAAAGCTATCTAAAGTATTAGCTAGGGAGACTACTATCCTTCCCAAAATACAAGGCCATCGGTTACTTTTTGAATAACTCAAAAGAAATAATAGATAAAGTGAACTTTTTAATTTTTGATGAAAATAATAAAACATGGGTTATTTCACTTAGTATAGGTTGTTGGGTTTGTTCTGAAAACTAACATTGTCACGAGATTCAACATATATTCACTTCCCATTTAGGAAAATCTCTGGCCTCTTCAAGCTATTATAGTTGAAATACCGGTTCCAGTTCGAGAATGGAAGAATGCTGTGATGTTATTTGCTTGTCGGCTGTCGACGAGTAAACCCGATCGTGAAAGATTCTTGAACCTTGTTGTCAAGCAAATTGAACGTTTAATTGTAACTGGTATTAGAATACGAAATTCTCGAGATCATATTATGTATAACGTTCGTGTACAGTATGCGGTTTTCGATTTGCCCGCACGAGCTCATTTCGTTAATATCGTACAATATAATGGGTATACCAGAGGTCAGTATCAACAGACAAGTTTTCTTTCCGTACTCAGATGTAAAATACAAAGAAAAAGATAACAAGTTTTATGTTCAAATGTCGTCACAAGCCACTCAGCATCATAGTATACAAGGAGTGAAGGGTACAACACCCCTATCATCTATTTTATTGTTACCGCTCCAATGCCCATATGATGAGATGCATCTTGTTTATCATGGACATTTAAAAACGCTTTTAAATTACTGGGATCAAATGTTCGCAAAAACGTTCACTGATGCAACGCCTGTTTTATTATCTATAATTCTTCCACATTCATTCAAATCTTAATATTCTCCTTTAGTCAATTTTAATGTATTGAAGGCTAAACTTTTACGTGCTTTTTTTTTATATTCTGCTGCTCCATTCAGTGTTTTCTTCCTTCCCGACAAATATGCCTGTCATGTTCTGTTATATTTTGTTTTCATACGAGTTTTACATTTTTTTCCTGATAAGAGCCTGTTGAACGGAATCGATTGTTTCTTCGATGAATATCATAGGAACGTAGCATCTTTATACGGTGAACACTCATAGCTTGGTACATTAAACTTTCGCCAGCATCTTCCAACTTACGACCACGCTGCGCTATGTTTTACGTCTTGTTTCAGACGGGAGTCGTACTTAAGTGATGCGCTTCGGTGGTGTCACGGAAAACGTTACGTTCTCAAACAACTTGTCACATGGTATGAGATCAATCAGAATACATGTGAAAGCTCCTCTTTGTCTTTTAATGATGTTTTTCTAAAAGAAAACTTGTTGAGAGAAGCATGTGTTTCTCAGATTTTTATGGATTCGATTTTACCAGTTTTCACTGTTTGTACCAATGAAATAAATATAGATATATTTAGTAATTTTACAACCGCCTTCTTGGTTACTAGAGACTCAGACAGAATTCATTCCTTCGGAAATGAATTCTGTCTGAGTCTCTAGTAACCAAGAAGGCGGTTGTAAAATTACTAAATATAATTAAATTTAAGTCGAGTTTTATATACAAAAATATAGATATAGATCAGTGTAGATATTTTTCTGTATATACTCGTGGTTTACTGTTTTCCAATCTGTAGCATATTCCCGTAGAGGAAATGCAATCGGTCACTATGTTTCAGT